CATCCTCTCTTTCATCCCATAGCGTGCCACAAAAAAATGACAGAATAAAGCCACTCTGCACCAAAACCCTTCTTGCCATATATCACAAACTGCACCAATAAGAGCTGGTGTTATCTAGTCTTAGTGTCTGTAAGGGCCCACATCCCTTTAAGTGCATTCTTTGCTGTGCTAAGCACCCCACATGACACTCTGAGAATCTGAAAGCTTCTATCCCCGTTTTCCTCTGGGTTCAGACAAGCTAGTGTTGCAATCTCTGTGAGTTGGTGAAAGTACCTATGTGAGAAATGTGCAATCCCTTGCATTGACATGCACGCCATTCCTAAATTTGTGGCCATAGCTGGTGTTTGCACAACCTCATGGGAAGAATAAACATCACTGTGGTTATGCACCCTTGGGTGGCATCCAGTGTATTTATAGCTAACTGGCTTAAGGGAAACCAGTTAGGCAGCACCCCAATTTTAGATGGCTTATTTGACCTTGGTGTTATTTTAAAAGGAACAGAGCCTCTTGAGTTGGTAGCTGGGAGCAGAGCAATGGCAAATATACACTGCAACAACCCCCTCAAAGGCCCTACATCCCCTTTTTAATTAGCAGGGAACAGATATCAGAACCAATTAATTTTAGGTCTCTTTGTCTCAAATTTTTTGGATTAAGGAGGACTATACGAAAGTTAAAAATTACAAAGTTCTAAATTTTGCTTTCCTCTTTAGAATGATAAAACACAGCAGGGACGCCAAACCGGTTTGGCTCAGTGGATAGAGCATCGGCCTGCGGACTGAAGGGTCCCAGGTTCGATTCTGGTCAAGGGCATGTACCTTGGTTGTGGACACATCCCCAGTAGGGGGTGTGCAGGAGGCATCTGATCAATGTTTCTAACTCTCTATTCTTGGCTCCTTTGTTGAAAAGTAGTTGCTCATATATGTGTGGGTTTATTTCTGGGTTCTCAATTTTATTCTATTGGTCTATATATCTGTTTTTCTGCCAATACTATAGTGTTTTGACTTCAGCTTTGTTCTTTTTTTTAAAAAAAATTGTTTTAGCTATTTGGGGTCTTTTGTGGCTCTACACAAACTTTAGAATTTTCTGTTCCATATATGTAAAAAATGCCATGGGGATTCTCATAGGAATTGTACTGACTATGTAGATTTCTTTTGGTAATATGGACATTTTCGTTATGTTAATTCTTTTTTTTCCAATCACAGTTTACATTCAGTATCCTGCCCTAGCTGGTTTGGCTCAGTGGATAGAGTGTTGGCCTGCGGACTGGAGGGTCCCAGGTTCGATTCCAGTCAAGGGCACATGCTGGGGTTGCGGACTTGATCCCCAGTAAGGGGTGTGCAGGAGGCAGCCAATCAATGATTCTCTCTCATCATTGATGTTTCTCTATCTCCCTCTCCCTTCCTCTCTGAAATCAGTATCCTGATATATAAAATCCCTGGATCATAACGACCAAGGCTCGACCAACCAGAAGTCAGTCCTGCAGTCAGTGCTGGGTTGCCATGGCACTGACTGCTGAGGGGGCTGCGAATCAGGGCTTGAGAGAGGCCTGAAGAGAGAAGCAGGGACTGATCCGTTGCCTCTGTGGCAGCTTTTGATCAGCACTTGCCTCGCTCTCTCTCTCCCAGTCTGGCCAGCAGCCATGCCTCCATTTCTCTCCAGGACTCCACCGGGGCTGCTGATCAGCCCCACCTTTCTGATCAGCCCACGTTCATTGATAGGCCCAGAGATGCTGACTGGCATAGGAACCAACCAATCAGAACCAAATGTGGGTGCTGTGAAGAACCAATGGCTGCCTAGGAGGCGGAGCTTCTGATGCTGACTGGCATAGAAACTGACCAATCAAAACCAAATCTGGGTGCTGTGGGGAGCCAATGGCTGGCTAGGAGGCAGAGCTTTTGATGATGACTGGCATAGAAACTGACCAATCAGAACCAAATTGGCCAGCAGAGGAGGGCAGTTGGGGGCAAGATCAGGTTTGCAGGGGAGGGCAGTTGGGGGCGAGATCAGGCTGGCAGGGGAGGGCAGTTGGGAGCAACCAGGCCAGGAAGGGAGGACAGTTGGGGGCGAGATCAGGCCAGCAGGAAAGGTCAGTTAGGGATTATCAGGCAGGCAGACAGAGGCAGTTGGGGGAAACCAGGCCGGCAGGGGAAGGCAGTTAGGGGTGATCAGGCTGGCAGGCAGAGGCAGTTAGGGGTGATCAGGCAGGCAGGCAGGTGAGCAATTAGGAGCCAGCGGTCCCAGATTGTGAGAGGGACATCCCCCAAGAGGTCCCCACTTGGAGAGGGTGCAGGCTGGGCTGAGGGAACCCCACCCCTTCATGCACGAATTTCGTGCACTGGGTCTCTAGTTATTTTATATTGGTTTCCTATGTTCTGAATACTGGTTAGAAAATAATATACTTTACAAAGGGGTCACGACCCCCAATGTTTCCAGTACCTACCTGTCACCATACACAGTTATTACAATATTATTGACTATACTAGAGGCCTGGTGAACGAAATTAGTGCGGGGGTGAGGGGGCGGTGTCCCTCAGCCCAGCCTGCACCCTCTCCAATCTGGGACCCCTCAAGGGATGTCTGACTGCCCTCTCACAATCTAGGACTGCTGGCTCCCAACTGCTCGCCTGCCTGCCTGCCTGATTGCCCCTAACCACTCCCCTGCCAGCCTGATCGATGCTTAATTGCTACCCTGCCGGCCCGACTGCCCCTAACTGCCCTCCCCTGCTGGCCCGGTCACCCCTGTCCTCCCTTGCAGGCCATCTTGTGTCCACATGGGGGCAGCCATCTTGTATGTTGGAGTGACGGTCCATTTGCATATTATTCTTTTATTAGATAGGATTCCCTATGGTGTACTTTATATCCCTGTGACTATTTTGTGATTACCAATTTGTACTTCTTAATCCCTTCACCTTTTTCACCCAGCCCCCCAACCACCTTCCCATCTGGCAATCCTCAGTTTGTTCTCAGTATCTGTAAGTCTGTTTCTGTTTGTTTGTTCATTTATTTTGTTCTTTAGGTTCCATATATGTGAAATCAAATGGAATTTTCTTTGACTTATTTCATTTAGCACAGCTGTAGATTTACCCATGCTGTCACAAATGCTAAGATTTCATTCTTATGGCCAAGTAATATTCCATTGTATTTATGCACTACCATTTTTATCCTTTCATCTATGGATAAGTTACTTGGGCTGCTTCCATATCTTGGCTATTAATAATGCGGCAATGAACATGGGGGAGCATATATTCTTTTGCATTAGTGTTTTGGGTTTCTTTGGATATATACTCAGAAATGGAATCCGTATTTCCTCAGGCAGTTCCATTTTTTATTTTGTGAGGAATCTCCCTACTGTTTTTTATAGTGGCTGCACCAATCTGCACTCACACCCACAGTTCCCTTTTCTCCACATCCTCACCAACAACTGTTGATATATTGGTGACAGCCATTCTGACAGGTATAAGGTGATATCTCATTGTAGTTTTAATTTGCATTTTTCTGAGGATTAGTGATGTTGAACATCTTTTCATATGTTTATTGGCTGTTTGTGTGTCCTCTTTGGAGAAGTGTCTATTTAGGTCCTCTGCCCATTTTTTATTTGGATTATTTGGGTTTGGGTTTTGAGTGCTTTCTAAATTTTGAATATTAACCCCTTATAGGATGTATCATTGGCAAACTCCCTTGCTGTTAAAAAAGCTTTTTAGTTTGATGTAGTCCCATTCTTAAAATTTTTCTTTTGTTTCCCCTGCCTGTGGCCATATATCAGAAAAAAATACTAAGAGAAATGTCAGAGATTTTACTGCTTATGTTTTCTTCTAGGAGTTTTATGGTTTTGAGTCTTACATTTAAGTTTTTAATCCATTTTTAGTTTTTTCTTGTATATCACGTGAGAAGGTTTAGTTTCATTTTTTTGGCATGTATTTGTCCATTTTCCTAACACCATTTATTGGATAGACTGTCTTTATCACATTGTATGCTCTTGCCTCTTTTAAAATATATTAATAGACCATATAGGAATGGATTTGTTTACAGGCTATTTTGTTTTATGTATATGTGTGTCTGTTTTTATGCTAGTATCATGCTGTTTTGATCACTATAGCCTTGTAATATAGTTTGATGTCATGTAGCATATACCTCCAACTCCAACTTTGTTTTCTTTCTCAAAATTATTGTGCCTTTGTTTGTCTTTGTAGCTGAGATGGGTCTCCTGAAGGCAACATGTAGTTTTTAATCCAGGGGTCCTCAAACTACGGCCTGCGGGCCACGTGCGGCCAGCCGAAAACATTTATCTGGCCCGCCAGGTGTTTTTGCCGCCGCTGTGTGCATAGGAATTTGTTCGTAGTTTTTTTTAAACTATAGTCCGGCCCTCCAACGGTCTGAGGGACAATGAACTGGCCCCGTTTAAAAAGTTTGAGGACCCCTGTTTTAATCCATCCGGCTACTCTTCCTTTTGATTGGTAAGTTCTGTCTATTTACATTTAAGGTGATTATTGATATGAGAACCTAATATAGCCATTTTATCTTTAGTTTTCTGGTTGTGTGTGTTTTTTGCCCTTGTGATTCATTAGGCTTATGTTAAAAAATTTTCACAGTCCTTTTTCATCTGATTGCATCTTATCTTTATTTACCTGTGCAAGTTCAGTCCTTTTTCTCTTCCCCTTTAGTGTCCTATTGTCACAAATTATTCCTTTTTATGCTATAAATTAATCCCTCCCTAGAGGACTGTTAAAGACACCATTGTCACCGTAGGGCAACAGCAGCATGTGATGGCTACCAAAGAAAAATCCATCTTTAGAGAAAGTATGTAACTGGTAAGCAACCGGTTTCCCAGCTTCCTAAAGATGGACCGTTATGAATACCACCATGATCAATAATTTTATAAAAGTATTAGCAAGCATATTTCCTTGCTTGGCAAAAAAATCCTAAAAAAAATTATCCTATAATTGATATAAAATTATCGAGGGCTAGATCTCATTCGATTAATTAGTTTGAAAAAGACATACATATTAGCAAAATACTGGTAAAAGGTTTATTGTAATAATACAATAAAAGTTTAGAAAACATTTGTATGACTCAATCTGGTTTGGAAGTTGCAGAGCAATGGGAAATTCCTGCAACATGACACCACGGAAGAGATTCCCAGACACTGTAGTTCTTTTAACAGCATGCCACCAAATGCTTTTTTCCAAATTACCAACACACGAATCCTTAAATGTATCCTGTCTGCTAGACCCAATGCTGACATGTTTTTTGTCTTAACTTACAGATGTGCAAAACTTTTCTTAGTCAGACTCCATTACAAAAAAGTCTTTAGCAAACCATTTTAAGCGGCCTATTGGTGCCTCTGGATTTTTATTAGTATTATTTTGTTTCAACAAATCATTTTAATGTGGAATAAAGGACCAAGGTCTATGGCTTTTTGCTTAAAAATAAAAACCAGCTTCAATTTTTAAAAAAGCTGTTTACATATGGTTCTGGCACCTACATGAAAGAATTTAATGAGCAGCAAAAAGAATAGAAAAAACAGTGGTTGAAATGTATACTTAAGAATATTTACAGGGTGGATCCAGTGCAAAATAATGAAAACCAAAATACCTCAGCAGTGTAAGCCAGTATGTTGGTGTTCATAACCACTAAAGGGTTTGATCATTTTAACCCTAAGTAAAGTGCCTCTAGTTGAAAACAACAACAAAATATACCCTATCTATCCCTACATCTCCCATATCCTTGCACGGTTTGTTGAATTATTCTAGTTATGAGTTTGTGATCTCTGGATTCTGTTCTTAAGCTTCATCTCACATTCATAGTTTCCAAGAGGCTTATTTGAGAACCACCGGGACTATTGTCCATCTTTCAGCTGAAGTCAAGCTCTACCCTCAAGCCCCAAATCCCAGTCTTTCAACTCTTGAGACTAAGCTCTTCTTTTTGAGGGCTGGAAGTACCTGGTAAGTCTTACCTCATGGGATTAAGTTCACTTGGTGTTTGTTCAAGTCAACCACTCTGAATTACAGGCCTGGATGGTACAACACAAGCCCAGCAACATAAAGCTGAGCAGTTAAAACAGAGCCTGTTTCCTCCTAAAGTGGCAAATTCATACTCAGGGAACTTGGGACTCCTGGGTAGGAATAAACAACCCTTCTGCAACTCTACCCCAAACTCTGCCAAACACTAATATACCAATAGCAAAAGCTTTATAGCACCTCGGGTTTGGAGGCAAAGATCATCTCTAATAATTACAACGAGAAAAGATGCTAGGGCAGGGCAAAGCCCCAAGTGATTTATCTGAGGTACTATCATGCTAATCACACTAACAAGATATGGTAATAATGCCTGTTAGGAATTTTTCATAGGATCTCTTTTTGTAGTTACATAGGATTTTTTTTTGCAGTTATTAAAAATAAACTACTTACATATTTGTACATAATGCCTCTCTACGGTTTTCTTAAAAGATTGTCACTAGAGAATGACAAGAAACGAGCTGAAAATGGTCTCTTGGTGAGGAAACATCCTTCCCTGGAGCTTCCCCCCAGGAGACAGGAGGAGTACCAGCTATGATTTCCTCTGCATTTCTGAGGAAGGTAGTGTCCTTAGAGCAACAAAGACTTCTAGGAAACAGGCAGGATAGCTTTCCCTGGAAAAACCTGCCACCTACAATATCCCTTAGAAACAAACTGGACACCAGAAAACTACTAAAGGCCACTTAATTAAAAGTGGCTTTTACTAGTAACCTCATTAGCAAACAACCTTAATGACTTAATCTTTCACTCATAGAAAATAAGTTTCATTTCAAACTGCACATAGTGTAGGTGGTAGGAATTCAATCATCTAGGTAAGAATGAACTAAATTCCACTCAGAATATAAGAAAATAGGTTTACAATCTCTAGGACATTATTGCAGCTAGAATTTCTTCTGTTCATGGATATGGGTCCTAAAGAAAAGAGCTTAGTTTCTTTGGTGTGTGGGGAGAAAGAAAAACAGGAATGTCTGATGAGCTACGACAGAGCAGCACAAGTGAAATAATGTTTAAATTACTCCCCGCCCCCTTTCCCCCCCAAAATAAACACCACCCTTCCAAACAAAACCAAAATCCTTGACCTAAAAAACAAACGTGACCAAATTATAAAGAAATCAAGTATCTCAAATTGCCTGCTGGTTTTCTATACAAAAATGATCGCATAAAAACAAACTCAAACAGTTTTTTATCTTTCAAGTCCTAATCATCAAGAATCAGTTCCTTGAGATTCAATCTCTACAACATAAAGTGACAGGAATAGTCTCAGCATCACGAGGACCAACATGTTGGCCGGGTCTGGGTCCTCTGGCCTGTGATCAGCATCACGAGGACCAACATGTCGGCCGGGTCTGGGTCCTCTGGCCTGTGATCAGCATCACGAAGACCAACATGTCGCCCGGGTCTGGGTCCTCTGGCCTGTGATCAGCATCACGAGGACCAACATGTCGGCCGGGTCTGGGTCCTCTGGCCTGTGATCAGCATCACGAGGACCAACATGTCGGCCGGGTCTGGGTCCTCTGGCCTGTGATCAGCATCATGAGGACCAACATGTCGGCCGGGTCTGGGTCCTCTCGCCTGTGATCAGCATCACGAGGACCAACATGTCGGCCGGGTCTGGGTCCTCTGGCCTGTGATCAGAGGGAGCCTAGATGAATTTCTGCCTCAACAGAACTGGCCTCATGCACTGGTCCTCCTTCCACCAACACTAGTCTGGGTAGAAGGACCTTTGACCCCTCTGTTTTATTATCCTCAGTATGTCTGTCACCACCATTGGCCATTTGACAAAGAAATGCCTATCTCCCTGCTTTAAACAACAAAAATAGTTTAGCCCTAGCCAGTTTGGCCTGTAGACTGAAGTGTCTCGGGTTCGATTCCCGTCAAGGGCACATACCTGGGATGCAGGCTCGATTCCGGGCCCGGACTGGGGCAAATGCAGGAGGCAACCAATCAATGTATGTTTCTCACATCGATGTTTCTTTCTCTCTCTCCCCGTCCCTTCCACTCTAAAAATCAATGGAAAAATATCCTCGGGTGAGGATTAACAACATCAAAAAAACAGTTAAAAAAACTTTTTGTTCCAGGCATGATCTTACCTAAATACATAGTTTACTAGTTTACTTTCCTGATGCGAATCTGGCACATTTTGATTCATGCTCATTAACGGTGTCCAGTGTAAGCTTTAAACCAGGAGGTCACCGAGGCTGCAGCGGAGGAGATCATCCCGCCCGCACTGCTGCTGGCGATGGGCGGGGAGGCCTGGGTGCTCTGGCTCTGCGAGACTTCCACGGGCTGGGAAGGGATGTCACAAAACCGGGGGCTTGGCAAGTTCTCCCAATCTGTGCCCAAGTCGGTTTCCTCATCACTTATGTGCTCGTCTCCACTCTCATCTGATTCTCCAGCAACTCCGGGATCCACAAATTCCATGGACTCCTCGAGGTCTGCGCGCACTTCAAAGGGTCCCGACCTGTGTGCCGACAGTGAAGGGTCTCTAAGACACCACCATTCTCACAACACGTGACACGGGTGACAGAAGACCTGATGCATGTAGGAGACCCAGAGCTATCACTGCATCCGTTCCCTAAGTCTGCACTGTGTCCACTCACTGTTGGTCTATAATTCAGTTTTTCTTTATCTAAATACCTGTCATCCAACTAATGAATAATACCACACGTCTCAATTCTACCTACTTTATTTGTGAAGACCCTGGACAGAAAAAAACCCACCCGTGAGACCATCCATTCTGGTTCACAGTATGATTTTGTTTTAAACAACTGTACTATCTCTACATTCCAATGACACAGTTTTGACAAAAACAGTCACATGATGTATACTCGGGTATATTAGTTAGTGGAACCAGTATCAAATGGTATACAAAGGAAATTAACATGTCCTCTGCCTATGGAAGCCCTCAATTATTAAACTCAAGACCCAAAGGGGCTAAATGATCTGGCTGTGTACCTGTTAGCAAAGCCTCCTGGGACTGGTGTCAACAGCCGGCTCCCGCACACATTTTAAGATATCAACAATTTTCTAGGGACAAGTTTATGGCATAAAATGAGATGTGACTATTAAAATATATTCATCTGGAATATTCATATTCCTGCAAGGTCTTTCAGTAAAACTTTTTATTGCCCAAAGTTCCCTAGTAATGTCTCCACCTCCAAATCTCTCAACCTTTCTTTCTCAGGCCGCACTCCCTGTGACAGCCCCTCAGTGCCGCCGTGTGGAACAAACCCCACCAGGCCTGCTTCTTGTCCCTTTCCAGTGCCTGTCACTGGGGAGCCAGGCTGCATCTTCTCCAGGGGACTTCCTGCAACCAGCTATAGGGTGGGACCAAGTCGCTTCAGCAGCCCCTAGCTCTCCATCGTTGCTCCCAAGTAAGGCCTAATGCCTCAGTTCATTTAAGAGGTTCACTAGTAATTACTTAGGGAGAAATGACAGAGGACAGCAAAAATAACAGAAATGAGAAATACCTTAGGAAAGTATAACCTGCCCCTTAGTCTGTGGTCCCAAATTCTTTACAGTATAATGACAAAAGCCTAGCGTTGGCCTCCAAGCGCCTCCGCCGACCTGTACCTCTGACCCGTTCTTCCAGGGCCAACTAGACTTCATTCTTACAAGACAGCCCCGCTTCCCAGCTGGGGCAGCGATAGCTAATGTTTCTGCTCTAGGCACTGTTTTTAGGGCTTTACAAGTTTTCATTCATTGGAAGATGTGCCACAGGGTTTCCCGTTGGTCTCTAGTGAACAATTTACATTCCAAGAAGCCCCTCAGACCAGGGACTGCCAAGCTTCCCAGGCCTCCACCCCGAAGTCGTGATTTTGCAAGGGCTGAAGGGAACAAGAATTGGGAGGGGATTCTCCCCACACCCTTCGTTCCTCCCCTTGAAACTTTTCCCATAAACCAACAACCACTGCAACTTGTTTCTTAGCTCTGAGTGCCCCTTTTCTGTTTCCTGTGGTTCTCCTTACAGTTTACTTATTTTCTCCCTTTTTGCTTTTCCTTGGCAAACAAGTCCACTCCAAAGACTTTTTTCTTTTTTCCTCCAGATTCCTCTCCTCCAAGCTCCAATCCCAATCACCCATCTGTCAGAGCTCCCCGACTGAGTGCTACTAACCGCACTCTCATCTCGGGTATCTGAGCCAGTCAACAAGGTCTCAAAACACAGCCAGCTGGGATTCCTCCCTCCTCCCTCACCCTCCTGCCTGACACCACCAAATAAGTCCCCTTCCCATCCTCAACGTGTCCCCCAGCTCTAGTCCTCCCTCTATCGCTACCACCACCAGCCAGTCCTGCCCTCCACCCACCTCAGCTTGCTGAAGAACTGTCCCTCTCATGGTGTTTGCCTATTAAAAATGTTCACAATTTGCCAGGCCAGTGTGGCTCAGCAGTTGAGTGTTGACCTATGAACCAAAAGGTCATGGTTCAAATTCTAGTTAGGGCACATGCCTGGGTTTCAGGTTCTATCCCCAATAGGGGGCATGCAGGAGACAGTGATCAATGATGTTTCTCTCTCACTAATGTTTCTATCTATCTATCCCTCTCCCTTTCTCTCTCAAAATCAATTTAAAAAAAAGAAGTTCACAATTTAAGTGTCTTAGCTGGTCTCCCTCTTTTCCCAAACACAAGGCTCTCGGATTCTGTTCTGTTCAGTTTTGCTGTCTGGGGGTTAAGTCTCCTGACTCCCCCGGCTCCCTCACAGGTCCAGGTCAGCTCTCCACCATCACTATTTCCTTTCTGCTAGCCTTGAGGCTGCCTTATCTACTCTTAGGGTCCTTCTTGGCATGAGACTGCTGTTGTCTCCAGATCCCCTCTTGAAGGGTTTTTCCAGGAGACAGGCCTGAGTGATAACAGGGGGGAAGTGGCACATCCTTCAAGCAGAGTCCCTCACTGGAGCCACTGGACCCGTTCTCTGCTTGGAATTCCAAAGTGCAGAGTCCACTTGGCATGGAGCAGGTGCTCAATTAAGAACCTCACATGAAAAACTAGTGAATGATTCCCACAGTGGTCAGTAGGAACACTTTTAGTTCCAGCAGCTAGCCTACATTTCTAAGCACCACCAGGAGCAGAAGAGCCCCTTTCAGAGGCGGCTTCTCCCATCACTTCCCGCATCGTCTTCCACCTGCCCAGCACGCCCGGGCCACACACACCACACAGAACCAACTAGCGAAAGAATTACGTCTTTCTGCTTAATGTCTTTGGGAAATACAGATTATAAAAGAATTCTGCTAATTTTCAGTTTAGCTGAATAACTGACATATTTTTATTCAAGACCCTGAAGCCAGAGCATTCATTTTCTCATGATACAGGATGTTATCCTTATCGACTAAGGCAACAAGGTGATTGATCTTCTTGGCTTTTTAAAAGTCTCTTTTTGCCAACAGCTTATTTCAAAAATATTATAGAATGTACGGCATCAAGAGTAAACTCTAGACTTTGGATGGTAAGGTGTGAATGTAGGCACCAGCACAGTAAAGACTGGCTCAGATAAGACTCGTCAATAGATAATAAATCCAGGGGGGGATTCTGATTAGGAGAACAATTGCATGGTCCCACACTGCAAGGAAGGAAGCATGTAGGAATTACACAGTGGCCAAGTCAGAAAGCATCCTGACTGTGAATTAACGTCACCAATAGAGGAGGACAGATGGTCAAATGTGATATCTGGAGATACTCCCACCTAGGCAGTGTCCCAGCCTAAAATGCACAGCCTGCATCTGCAAGGAAACACCCAATCACAAAATTAAAGTTCTATTTGAAAAATGAAAATAATGTCATAAAAGGCAAAGGCAGCTGTGAAAATGTTCCAAATTTAGAGTCATAGCAATTAAATGTACCACCCGACGCTAGATTGGATCCTGGAGGGGGAAATGCTATAAAGGACATTATCTGGTGCACTGACAAAATGTGCGTATCGGCAGTAGATTAAAGTATTATAGCAATGTTAAACATGCTGATGTTGATAACTGGGCGGTGGTTAAGAAAATATCCGCCCCCCCCCACCCCCCCCAAAAAAAGAAGAGAAAATATTCCCATTTTTAGAAAATACACATTGAACTATTTAGGGGTCAAGAGCCATGACATATGTAACTTATCCTCATAGAGTTCAGAAAAAAAAATTTTTGTGTGTGTGTATTTATGGAGAGAGAGGAGAGAGGAGAGGGGGAGAGATTGCACAAATGACAAAGCAAATGGGGTAAAACACTAACAAAGATGAATCTGGGTAAAGGGTATATGCATCTTAGTACTATTTTTTAATTTTTCTGTAAGTTTGCATTTATTTCAAAGAAGAATAAGTTATGTTGGAGTCAGGATGGAATCCTCAGTTTAGCTGGTCTCCATGGAAACAGGACGTCCCACCCAAGTTCCATTACCAGTCTCTCTAAGCCTGACTGAGGGAGGTGTGGAAAGGGGGTTCTGAAGCGCCGACCTCCTGGTACACAGACCAGGAAAGCTCAGATGTGACGAGAGCCTGGCTGTGTGTGTGCACGTCTCTAGGACAGAGCCCTCTAAGTGGAGGGCTGACTCAAGGGCAAGCCCAGAGAAAACGCAGATCCACAAGGAAGTCCACCCCTAATACAAGATGCCAATTTTCCTCAACCACCACCAACACTGGACACCATGTCCTTTCCTCTTTGCTAACCTGATAGATGAAAAATGGAAATTGCATTTTTGCATTTTTGTTCTTGATTGAGGCTAAAGATGTTTTTCCTCTGAATTGTGACTACTTGCATTTCTTTTGTGTGAACTGCCTGCTTGAATACTTTCTCTGTTTTTTTATGAGGTTGCTTGCCTGTCTTTTATTGACCTGAAAGATTTAAGGAGTCTGGATTTTAATCCATTGTCTCTTATAGAGACTGTAAAATATATCTATTGCTTGTCTTTTAACATTGTTTATGGTATCTTTTACCAGAGACATTTAGAGTTTTTCCATAGAAAAATATGTAACTCCTTTCCTTCATGGTTTTTGGGTTTTGTGGCTTGCTTGGGAATCCCCTCCCCACCCTATGATTATAAACACTCTTTTCTCCTAGTTATAGTTTTTAAAATTAAAGTCTTTTATTTCATCTGGAATTAATTTTTGTATGTGGAATGTCATATAAATCCAACATTTTCCTCATATGAATACCCAACTGACCCACCACCATTGATCTATTACGATTCAACATGCCACCCTTATCATATATTATTTTCCCACATACACAAGGGTCTGTTCCTGGACTCTCTTCCATTGCTTTAATTGCTCCAACCGATTTGCATGTTAACAGGGTCTTGTTTTAATTACCTTTATACTATGTTTTAAAAGGGGCCAAGACCATCCCTTATTATTATTTGTCAAAATTTCCTTGCAGACTATGCTTCTAGTTAAACATTAGAATCAGCCTATCAAAGTTCCATGAAATATCTGTTAAAATTCTGATCAGGTTTCCTTTTTGGGAGAAGTAGCACTTTACAATACTGAGCCTTCCTCCTAGAAAATCACCACCCTGGCCTCCTTGCATTCAGTGCCACACCTCATACAGTGCTGGGCAGACATTCAAAAATTACAGGTTGAATATTTTTTTTTAGTTCCAAAATTTTTACATAAACTTGCATGTACTTTGTAAGGATTACTTCTCTATAGTTTATAGCATTTGTTGCTAAAGTAAAAGGGATCTTTTTTCCCATTACTTTTTTTTAACAAGTTGTGGTTGGCACATAAGAAAGCAACTGTTTTAATGTATGTTGATCTTATATTTAGACACCATACAAGTATCATTTCTAACAGCTTCGTAGTTCTTTTGGGTATCCAGTTTAATCATACCATCTACAATAGATCAGCTTAGTTTCCTTCTTTCCAATATAAATGCACCTTATTCCTTGTTTAAAATGTCCTGCCTTGGCTGGGCCTCCAGAGCCATGTTAACGTAGCAGTGCAAGCAGGGCACCCTTTTTCTTCCTGACGATAGGGTGCTGCCCCTAAATGTCTATGTAAGCAATATGCCATTAAACACAGCTTTTGCTCCATGCTTATGGTAGGTATCCTTTACTAATAATCTCTTTTTAATTTGATAGTTTTCTTTATTAAGGGGAACTGAGTTTTATCCATTGCTTTTCTGGCATCTGTATCAGGTTAGTCCTACGTTCTTTCTTCTTTAGTGTGTTAATGTGATAAGGTTAATGTGTATGGCCAAAAGCATGAGTACCTAGTACTTGGGAGTCGTCAGCCAGGTGTGCTGGGACCTGGCTCCACCACTTTTACTGGCTCTGTGACCATGGGCCCGAGTTAGTTGGCCTGCTACCACGTTGCCCCCTGTGTGAAAGTAAGGATAATAATCCTGCCCTGGCTGGTGTAGCTCAGTTGAGTTAGTGTCATCCCATGCACCAAAAGGTTTGCTTCCCCATGAGGACACATTGCAGCCTCGATCCCAGGAAGGGGGTGTGTAGGAGGCAGCCAATCAATGTTTCTCTCTCACATTGATGTTTTCTTTCTCTCTCTCTTCCTTCCTCTCTCTGCAAAATCAATAAAAACATATTTTTTAAAAAAGAGAGATTTAAGACATGTAAAGTGTTTAGCTCAGTGTAAATATTAGTCCTTATTACGAATAATAAATTTCCTAACATTGAACCATTTACAAATAAGGTACAGAGAGGATGGCAAGCAAACCCACGGAAATCAACCACTAAAATTGGGATGGATTTCTAAAGGTTTTCTGTGGCTCCTAAATTAATGAATGGGATTTGGGCTACGGGGTTTGAAGTCCCTATACAATGGCAAAACATTCAAGGTGCATGTGCAGTTTCCTGGAGAGAGTCCACAGCTCTTTCCAAAGTTAACTACTGTTTTAGGCAGGGGGAGGGAAGAGGGGAGAAACATCAGACAACCGCTGAAGGCAGACTGTCATAGCAAGTTCACGGCGATGTGAAGGAAACCAGGCATCCTGGTCAGTGGAGGGGACTCCCCTTGAGCCCTGGTTTGTGTCAAAGCAAATGAATGATGGGAAGAGACCCCACAAGAATTTTCCCACCTTTTATTTGTCTTTCAAAATTACAAATACAATAGCCAAGCCCTATCTGCAGAAATGAATGGACAGACCTCTAAGAACAAGGAGAAAAGATCAGCACCTAGAGAAGGGACTCTTGGACATGACCAAAGATCAGCCTCATGAATGCCATGCTTTCTATGGGCTGAGAAACTGAGAAGACCCCTTAGACCAGTCCTGGTTGGTCTTTTTTGTTACTCCTGTTTTTAAGCTAATGGATTTTAAACTATTCATCCCATAAACATCTCATACCCTTTATCCAACAAACGGTGGCCAGACTGACTCAGTGACAGAGAGGATTGTGACGAACTGTTGTGGGAAGGAAGGAGCAGGCACAGAAGATGCACAAGCAACAGGCTAGAGCAAAAACATGTGGATTCAGAGAAACGGCGTCTGACCTTCAGGGACAGCACAGGAAAGGCCAGGAGCCCTCGGGTTCTTCTGTTTTAGGGGTTAAAATGCTATTAATTTCTCTGAGAAATGATTAAGAACCATAATGGCTCAAATATGATTAGCCATTGCTTCCTTCTATATGGGACTGTATTTTTGTCCTGTTTGGAGATTTGGGGCTGAGGAACAGGCCCCTGTACACTGCCAACACATACAACTCCACTTAAAAGTAGTCACAACAGTACCACTCAGAGAAAAGCAACAGACACCCTTCTTACCTGCCTAGGTGTTCAGAATTCGGGCTGACCAGGTACATTAGATTCCTGAGGGTATGCAGTGGTTGTAATTGGTCTAAATTTACATGCTAGAAAAAAACAAAAAATTGATTACTATTTTCAACCATGTGAAGAAATTAAAAATTAGTTCACAGCACATTTTCCATACCTGAGAAAAGCACAAGTAAAGAATATTTGCATTCAGTTTCTTTACTGCTCGAGTAAATTTCTGTCTGCTGAGATTTTCCCCACAAAATTCACTGTAAAACAAACATAATTTGTAAAGTTGTATTTTTTGGAGGAAATTCTATGTTACAACGTTCATTTTAAAGAGTGTACCTTACACTGCAGTTCAGTATAAAACTTACCCTGAGGCCTTTGCCTCTTAAATGTACTTAGAAACTTTCTAGGAATGAACTATTCCCCTCACGAACAATTTCACTGAATCTGTAACAATTACAAATACATAGATCCTTTGACTAAGCAATTCCACTTCTGAAAACTTACTCTACACAAATACTTGCCAACTAGTGAAAAATGAATGTGTAAGATGATCCACAAGTGTCAGCAGAGGACCGGTGAGATCCTGGGACACGTATACAAAGGAAAACTCTGCAGCTGCCCACTTTATGCAGGATGAGAGCTGAAGGCCCGAAGGCCCCACACGATTTGCACTCCTACTTTCTGATGCACTCGGTCTCCTTTGTGCTCCTTGCAGCTCTCTCCCCAGGGCTTTGCAGGCCTGCCTCTGCTCACAGCCTCTTTCCCCAGGGCCCACTTGGCTTGCTCGCTTCCTCCCTCAGGTTCACACATGATCACACACCTGCCCACTCAAACACTGCAAGCCCTTCCCTGCCTCCACATCCCCTTTCTCTCACCCTGCTTTAACGTTCTCCACAGCACACATCACCATCCAACATTCTGTTTATTTGTCCCTTCATTAAAGTTAAGGGCCAAAGGGGTAGGGATTATGCTTTCATCACCAATGTACCTTCTTAGTACCTAGAACAGTGCCTGGCACATAGCAGACACTCAATAAATATTTGTTAAATAAATAAAAACTTAAAAAGCAAGGTGTTTAAAACACCTTGGTACAGCATACCTTTTGTGTTTAAAAGATGGTAAACATATATATATTTGCTTGAAAGGCAAGGAAAACTAAAGGTTGGTATGAAAGTATTAGTAGGATTTGGGTAGACTGTAAACCTTTACTTTTTTTTTTTTTAATTTTAAACTACATGTTTTTGTTATAAAAAAATCAAACAGCTGCAGCTGGGTAGCTCAGTTGGTTAGAGTGTGTCCCAATATGCCACAAATGAGCATTTGTCTTCGTATTTGTACTTTTGAAAGACAAATAAAAGACAAATGCTGACTTGATCCCAATGAATTTATAAATCAAGTGAAACAACAAATTGATGTTTTCTCTCTAAAATCATTTTAAAAACAAAAAACAAAATTTGCCAAGTGTTTACTCAGTTCTTGCACATGAGCACACCCTCTGATTATTCTGGGTTTTCCTTCAGTTCTTTTTGCAAATGGGAGAATTCTCTGTGGTCTTCTCAAACACTTCACATGCAATTGTAAGATAACACCACTTTGTACCACATGAGGCTTATGGAATTAATCTCAGTATCTATGGTCATTTCTGTCTGAATAACACTTCAATTCTTGATTTTGGATTCATTAGAACAAATGAGAACACAAACAGAGCATAAGAGAACCACGACGAAGAAGACATCACTGCCCTCAGGTACTTGCCTGTTGCACAGCTTTTTAGGAAGATTTATGTCGAGTATATGAGACAAAATGTTGGCCAGCTGAGTCGCATAGCACAGCGCAGCGCTGATGGTGTAAGCAGGGTTGTTATGCTCCATGTCTAAAGTGTAAAAACAACCACCACACACAGAACCTTAATTTCAGCAAAAAATACGAATGAACCTACATTTTATGATTTCTAATTTATCATTACATTTATGGTAACGTTTTACTCCTTCCTAATAAAAGGTCCATGTTTCATTGCTATGATTTTCACTGAGTGAAACCTAAGTAAGTGGGCCTAGACAGGCCCAGCATAAGTGAAATTGAAGTCCCCACCCACAGCACGCACTCAGCGTACACTGCTTTTGATGACTGCTTGCTTCCTGTCCTCCCCACAGGAAGGGAGGCACACCTGTCTGGGTGACACCACCTGTGTATCACCAGTACATGACTAAAGCACATCTCACTAAGTATGTGCTGAATGACTAAATGAACAACTCTCCACCAGAGAAAAGCTACTTGGGTGTTAAAGGGTTTCTCTAGTGTGGTATTCAATCTCCAGTTAGGACTGCGAAACAAGCTCTTTACAAAGGTAAAAACTGTCAAAATGGGATGGGACTCAGGCTAACTATGCTTCTTTAAATAGTGAGGTCTTTTTATATAGATAAAGCAGTATCGACCCCCAAGAGGAGAAATATCTGAAATACATTTTTCCAGCACATCCACAGATGGAGAAACAATGTGGTATATCCATACAATGGAATATCATTCAATCATAAAAAGAATGATACATGCAACAATGTGGACGAACTCTGAAAACATGCTAAGTAAAAGAAGCCAAACACGAAAGTCCATGTTTTGTATGATCCCATTTATATGAAATGCCCAGGATAGACACAACTACAGAAACAGGGTGCAGATTAGTGATGGCCAGGGCTCGGCTCAGGAGGGCGCTGGGGAGTGGCTGCTTCATGCCCTGGAGCTTCCATGTGGGGTGATGAAATGTTCTGGAACTAGACAGAGGTGATGGTTTTATAACACTGTACATGTACTAAATGCCACTTAATTGTTCATAACTGTTCATTTTGTTATATAAATTTTACCTCAATTAAAAATATACATGTTGGCTGGAGCCATCCAGGCTCAGCCACCTGGTGTGTGGATGATCGAATAAATTCGTAATCCCTCAACAACAAAACAAACAAAATTCATGTTTATAAACGTTTCCAAACACAGTCTTGCTTCTCACCAGGCCCCTGCGTGGTTTTCTTCTCTTCCACCCAATTATAGTAGGCAGAGTAGTCCCCGTTGTTGGGAAGGCTAATCCAAGGCCCTGTGATGCTGATGCTGGTGTCCCCATTGTGGTCGTCACAGACCCATCTCCCTGAGTGGTAAGTCGTCCTCCGGGCTTCAGCAAGCTTGCTCACGGTGCTGGAGGTCATGGCACTGTCACTCTCTGAAGACACATCCGCGGGATCTCTAAAAATCAGAAGATGCATACGGGTTTCAAGGGACTGGGTTTTAAAGAGCAGGCAATATACTTGCCAGATACACAGAACACTGGGAAGAAGCACATGAGCACAGGAAGTGACGTGGAACATGCAGAGATAAGTGATTGCTATCAGAGATGAAGATCAAACCAGCTGTAACACAGAAGTCCACGTGGGTGTAAGGGGGCACCAGGAGCAAGGGCCTCAAATATCAGGTTCTTCAACGATTTGGTAGCAATATCTCTTTATATGCTTAAAAATTTCTGAGGACCTCAAAGAGCTTTTGTGTGTGGGGGTTAGGTCTATTGAGATTTGCTATATAAGAAATCCGAGAACATTTAAAATTATTAATTCATTCAAAAATAATAAACTTATTACATGTTAACATAGTATATCCTTATGAAAAAAATTTGTATTTTTCAAACAAGTAGATTAGTAAAGAGTCAAATAACACAATATAGCACTGATCAACATTTTTTAAAAACCTCTGTAATACCCAAGTCCTTCAATTGTTCTTTCAAGTAAAATAGTGTCCCATGAAAAAAGCAACTACTGCTTGCAATTCATTCAAGTGCTTTTCCTTGAGCCAACCATGGCACTTCGGTCTGCAGCAAAAGCAGCTTCTGCACACTTCCCATTTCATCATATACTATCTTTAAAAGGTGTGTTTGCAGGGCAAGCCAATAAAATTTAAATAAAAATATTTCCTATTGCTTCATCAAGAACACTGTTGCTGCAAAACTGGTTTTTCTTTTAATACTGCAAGTACAATGCAGAATACAATGACTATTACTGCAGCTTGCTGTCACTGCCTTGAAATGTATTGTGGCACCAGAGGTTTTACCCACCATGGCTTCTGAGCCACCAGTGCAAATGTCAACAGAGTGAAAAAGGAAAATAAAGTGTTAATATTATTATATAAAAACAGTTTGACTGAAAGGGTTGCAGGGACCCACAGAGCCCATAGACCACACTTGGAGATCTGCTGGTCTGAAGCATGATGGGAATGAGAAGTCACAGCAGGCACAAATGCACAGGAGGGGAAGGACACGGTGTGTCTGGGAGCAGAGATGATCAGTGGGGTTGTGTAGAATACACAAAGGAAGTGCCAGGAGACGGTATTGGAAAGGTGGGTAGGAAATGGGAGACTGGGAAGGGCCTTTTGCACTGCACTAAGTTTAGATTCTGTTCTCTTGGCCAGTGGTTCTCGATCCTTTTTCCAACACACATAGCATAACTCCTACCGGCTATCACGGTTAAGGATGGGGGACTAGGCCAGCTCCAAGCTGTAATGCTACTTCCTCCTTCTCCCACTCAAGGAAGTTTGAGAAATAAGAATGAACATGAGCCCTAGCTGGTTTGGCTCAGTGGACAGAGCGTCAGCCTGTGGACTGAAGGATCCCGGGTTCGATTCCGGTCAAGGGCGCGTACCTCAGTTGCAGGCTCCTCCCTGGCCTGGGCCCTCGTCAGGGTTTGTGCAGGAGGCAACCAATCGATGTGTTTCTCTCACATCGATGTTTCTCTCTGTCTTTCCCTCTCTCTTTTCCACTCTCCCTAAAAATCAATGGAAAAATATCCCTGGGTGAGGATTAAAAAACATAATAAAATTGTTAAAAAAAAAAAATAGAATGAACACGAAATCTTATTATAGAGATAACTTCAAAATCATCAGCTTAAAAAAAATTAGCAGTATATACTAATATATACTAACAGAAAAATTTAAACAGCACAGGTAGAAAGGAGAAAGTTTTCTCTTCTGCAACTTTGTATGCAATTGTGAGTCTCCATTCCAATATTGTTGCTGCCATCTGCACACATTCATCTACCATAAGATTCATAAAGGAATCAAATCCCCGCAATATTCCTTGAACATTCTGCCACCAGTTAATTTCAATGATAACTTCTTGTCCACAAATTTTGTTAACTCGGGAGGGTGAGCTTTGCTCATGTGTCTACTCATTGAGTTCAAAGCTCTCTCCAAAAGGAATCTGTGTCCTCTTTCATGTTCCCCTGGCAGGCCCCGGCCCACAACAATTTAATGTGGCATAATGTTTCTGTTTTGCAGTTTTACCCGCTTTGGCCTGACTAGTTGTCTTTTGACTCAATAGGTTATCCATGTACTGCTGCTAAGAGGAGACTGAAGATACCCGGTGCTTGACAACAGCTAGTCAGCAGTAAAAGGCTGTCACCATGGAAGAAACCCCAAGCACCAGGTGCTTTCTTCCACTTTAGCTCCTGATCCTATGTGAAGTAGGCATTTATTATCCCTGACTTTGAGGTTTAAGAACCTGCCTCACAGCATATAACTAATAAACAACCCGATTGGGATTGCAGCTGACATCGGCCATCAGATGGTTTTTTGATCAGGGTGAGTCAGCACCTCATCGGGAAGCTGTAAGTGTACACAAGCTCCTCCGAGGGCCACCGCCCTTTACCTTGGCTGCCTCCCCAACTTCATGCAGTGTGCAGTGTTTGCTGAAGCAGATAAGACTTCAGTTTAATTACCAGGAAAGCCAATGGCCCAGAAAGAGGTCAAATAAATGAGGTGCTGACACACTTAAAAAATACTTGATTTTGGGACCTGATGTAGAGTCAAAAGACTTGCTTACTCTACCTCGCACCAGTCTTCACTTCCTCAATTGGGAAGATGACAGAGGTGAGCTCTAATATATGAGACCGCCGAAGATCTGCCAGACGCTCATAATGACTTTTTAAGTCGATGGTCTTTTTTTCTACTAGGTCCCCCAGTTTGCGGTTATGCCTCTGAATCTTCTCCTTTTTCTCTTGATGCCGTTGTGCTCGAGTATAAAGCTTCTGATTCTTTTCCTTGGTTTTGAGAAGGCCTTCAGAATCTAAAATAAATCAAACTCAACAATTATCTCTACAAATAGGTCCTGGAATCTAAGAACTCCCTTAGGTCGTGAGCATGGCAACTAGCCTGCATTATGTTCTAAAGAGCAGGGTTCGGGACCCCGGCAGACCATCAGAACCACCCAGAGCAATGGACTCAAAGTGTGGCCTATGTATGTATCTGGGTCGGTCTGCAAACTTTTCCCAATCAGACAAGAGATGTACAGAAATACAGACTAAGTTTAGAAAATGTCTACTTTGACATGGCAATTTGACATTGCCATAAAATTCAAGCGTATGACCATCTTTCTAGTAATTTATTTTATTATACTTTATGAAAGTATTGGTATCAGTTTATGAAGGATTCGAAATCAAAGAGAAACTACTGGTCTTTTACTACAGACAGTTTCAGAACCACTGACCCAGTCCCCATGCATGAGATTGTATTTCCTAAATCCAGGGTGGGTCCCAAAATTCTCTCTCTAGGTTTTAAAAAGGTTCCCAGATCTCTCTGCCAGGGATAGAAACCACTGTTTTAAGTTCACTGCTTTAGAACCATTCATTTTATTCTCTGTGGTTGCTGCTTTTGTATTTTGGTGCGAGGAATCTATTAGAGCTGATCAAAGTTTTAAACTTGATCACCAGAGAACTGCACAAGGTCAGTAAATTCAGCAATTTGAGGCGGTTCTCAGATACCTGGTAGCCAATCCCTGGGGTGAACATCACGGAAGTGTGAGGAAAGAGGTACACCAAGTTCAAGGTTAAATGACAAGTCCCTACACTGCTGCTGAACCAGAGGCTTTGGAGGATGTGTGCCAAACCCAGTGAGCAATTGACTATCTGCAGTCCTGGGTGCCCCTTCATCATGCTGCCTTGCTTCTCTCTTGTTAATCCTGTGAAACTCCACAGAACTGTATGAGGACAAATGTCTTCAAAGGAAACTTTAACTCCACTATGTACCCCTTACAAGATATTGCTTCTGAAAGCAATGAACAGGAGAGGGATTCACAAAAGGTCTGATGGTGACTCATTCTAAACTTTAAACACTGACCTTCAGAAATACACAGAGTATTTCCAAGGATGTAGGATTTCTAAGAGAACTCTCTTAAATTTTGATAACCACATATTGATAGAGTATCAGTAAAAGTATAATGTAACATTAATACAAATTAAAATACGTATAAAACACACTAATGGAGAAAAAAAATATTCTATGCCTCTGGTAGGAACTAATAATTATAAATGGATTCCAACTTAGACTTGGAGTCTCCTCTTAGCTAAGGCAAATGGGAAACATATGTTCCTTAACTTTTTTAAAGTGAGAAAGGTAGCAGGTTATTTAAAGGTTTTTACATAAGAGTCCCTTACACAAACGTTTCATAAGGAGAGGAAGGTGAGCAGTAACTTTTCCAGGATGCTGTTACCCCTACTTCTCTCTCTTTCTCTGCTCTCTAATCTATTAATCCCATGAAATTCCACATGAGCTCTTTATTAGGGCTGGAGGGAGGGGCTCCAATTACTTACTTTTCTTCATTTCTTCATTTCCTTTGCATATTGTTTGTTTCAGCTGTTCAATCCTCATCTTGCAGGACATTATTTTCCATCTCTTAAAAAGTATGCAATAAATATCAGAAATGGTCTCATAATTTATATGATTATCTACCCAGTATCACCACCCATTTTTCAGGTATATCTTAGAAAATATAATGAAAACTGTTGTATGTATTATAGCTTCTATAACTATGTCAGATTACCAAAAAGAAAAAAAATGTGTTATTATGGCTCAATGCAGAAGCTGTTAGAAAATTAAAGAGAAATTCACAGAAAAATATGTTGCAGGATATTCTCTTAACATGCTCTGTTCAATATATAGCCACTGGCCACATGTGGTTATTTAAAAGTCAATTAAAATTACATAAAATAACAAAATTCAGCCTGGCCGGGGTGGCTCAGTGATTGAGCCACATGAACTAGGAGACAGGGTTTGATTCCCAGTCAGGGCACATGGGTTCAATCCCCAGGAGCGAGCTTGAAGGAGGCAGCTGATCAATGATTCTTTCTCATTACTGATGTTTCTCTCTCTCTCCCTCTTCATTCCTCTCTCTAAAATCAATAAAAACATATTTTTAAAAATTCAGTTTCTTACTCACACTACGCATATGTCTTATGCTCAACCAATGCTCAACACATGAGGCTAATGGCTACCATCCATATTGGTCTGTGTAGATATAGAACATTTGCATCATCACAGAAAGTTCTGTTTATGCCCTGAGGATTAATAAAACAAACATAAAATGTTTTCTTTTATGGCTTATCAAGGTCCTCACTCCTAAATTACATAAAAAATTTCCCCTATTTTCTTTTCACATTTTTATGAGTTTACTTTTCACATTTAATCACATTACTCCATTTAAACTGTGTGTGTTTATGATGAGTACATTTTCTCCAAAAGGATAGCCCATTGTTCTTATATTTCTATGTCACTACCAGACTTCATAACTTTTACAACAGCTCCTTAATGAACTGTCTACACCCCGTTTTTGGTCCCCCAAAAAATATCTGAGAAGCCACACTACAAATATATTCAAAGAGAGGACTTCCAAAAATGAACAAAAACAAATTTAAACTCACAATGACTTTTGAAGCATCACCAACTTAAAAACATGTAACCTCAAGTACAAAGAATATTATTTAAATAGTTCTTACAGCTTACCAACTGATCTGATATCCATTTTCCTTCCATAGCTTTTAACACTCTGTATGGAGAAGAGAGATACAGAATAAGCCCTTAAAAATTAAATTTTATAAAGCTCAAAAATGTAAAATCAACCCTAACCGGTTTGGCTCAGTGGAAGAGCGTCAGCCTGCAGACTCAAGGGTCCCAGGTTCGATTCCAGTCAAGGGCATGTACCTTGGTTGCGGGCACATCTCCAGTAGGGAGTGTGCAGGAGGCAGCTGATCAATGTTTCTCTCTCATTGATGTTTCTAACTCTCTATCCCTCTCCCTTCCTCTCTGTAAAAAATCAATGAAATATATTTTTTTAAAAATGTAAAACCAACAACTTTTAAATACAACTTCTTATAAATGGCTTGAAATGGCAAAATGGGACTGAAGCAAAGTGTTTTCCAAATTCTGTTCTCTGCAATTTTTTCTCACCTTCTTCTTTTTGCACTTCTAACATAGTCCGGAGCCTTTCTGTAGACGTTCATCATAAACTTCCAGAACGGCTGGAGCCTTTGTCCTCAGTCATAACTAATAATTCCCGTCAACCATAATTAATGATAGTTACAAGAGAACTCATGACTAAAAATGCTAAGATCATTACAGAAAGAAAAGGCACAAGCCAGTATCTGAGAATATTTGTTTTATGGAGTGAAGTGTTCTATAAAAATAGAAGTTTCTGCCCTGGCCAGTGCGGCTCCGTTGGCTGGAGCACCGTCCTGTACACTGAAAGGCTTTGAACCCCAGTCCTGGTGTGTGCAGGAAGGCAACTGGTCATTGTTCCTTCCCTTTCCATTTGTCCTTTCTCTTTCTTAAAAAAAATAAGCATGGTGTCAGGGAAGAATTTAAATATAAATAAATAGTTTCTATGGTTGAATAAATTAGAGAAATAACCAAGTTAAATTAATCCAAGCAGGTTTCTCTAATGCAGCGGTTCTCAACCTGTGGGTCGCGACCTCTTTGGTGGTCGAACAACCCTTTCACAGGGGTCGCCTAAGACCATCCTGCATATCAGATATTTACATGACGATTCATAGCAGTAGCAACATGACAGTTATGAAGTAGCAACGAAAATAATTTTATGGTTGGGTCACAACATGAGGAACTGTATTTAAAGGGCCAGAAGGTTGAGAACCACTGCTCTAATGTGAGGCATCTCAGGCTATTTAATCCACTTATGTATGTGTTTATCTGACCAGGGGTGTGTCTGCAGAACAGTGACTGGGTCCGTTTGGGGTAGGAGGCTCTCTAGGAAAATTCTCAAATCCAGAGTGTGAGAGATGCGCCAGCAGTGCTCAGTAATAACTCAGACTCCCAGGCCTCCCTCAGACCTACTGAATCAGAATACCTGAGGATAGGATTTTAAGAATCTGCATTTGTAACCATTACCTCAGTTAATGAATTCTGAAATAGATGATCTGCAGACCACACTTTGCAAAAACACTGATAGAGAAGAAAGCTAAATGGAAGCAGTAACATCCTATAGGAGCCACCATCACTAACTTAAGTCTAACATGCCTAGACCCGTCTGCCACATACCAATGATCAGGTGGGGGGCTTAATGCATCCATCCCATCGCTAGTGCCTACTGTGCACAGGCACCAGGGCTGATCCCAATATTTTCTAGAAACTTGATAACTCTCCTATTTTGCTTCTCCAAGATGCACTGCTCTTCATTGCTTTCAGATTCTATCCTAAATTTTGTAATTTAGCAATCCATATATCTGCATATCACAGCACTGAATTAAACCACATAACCTCCACAAATTAAAAAGCCAAATGAAGACTCACTCTTTTTGAAATTCTTCCTGTTTGCTCTTAAGTCGGCTTAACCGTTCCTTCTTGTCTATAAACCTGTAAGAAAAAAAATTAATGTTTTATTTAAATATTTTTTTTTTCAGTTCAATCAGATTATATGAACTCTTGGGAAGCCAATCATTTCTGCAGACTCACCTGGAAATGTCACTGAAAGTAAGTACTGTACACAACTTCTCAATGGGGTGCATGTGGCTGCTCACCACTTGGTTATTTTAAAGTTAAATTCAAACTCTCAGCTTCAAAATTCTGTCATGGGTTTATAAAATGTCTATAGGTTTCCACCCTAGGTTAAATTATTTCCAAACAGGCACATTAGAGCACTAATGTGAATTTTGAATTTAAAAAAAACTGAGGCTTCTATTATAAAAACTAGAGGCCTGATACACAAAATTCATGCAAGAGTAGGCCTTTGCAGTCACGGAGGCTGCCTCAATCCACGGCTGCAGCCCAGGCTTTGTCCAGAAGGTCATCCGGACAATCGTTTGGTAATTTGCATATTATGCTTTTATTTTTATAGATAATTTTTACCCTAGCCAGTTTGGCTCATTGAATAGAGCATCGGCCCATGGACTAAAGCAGGGGTGGGCAAACTTTTTGACTCTAGGGCCACAATGGGTTCTTAAACTGGACCGGAGGGCCGGAACAAAAGCATGGATGGAGTGTTTGTGTGAACTAATATAAATTCAAAGTAAACATCATTACATAAAAGGGTACGGTCTTTTTTTTTTTTTTTAGTTTTATTCATTTCAAACGAGCCGGATCCGGCCTGCGGGCCATAGTTTGCCCACGGCTGAACTAAAGGGTCTCAGGTTGGAGTCTGATCAAGGGCATGTACCTCAGCTGCAGGCTCGATCCCCAGCCCGGGTTGGGGCAGGCAACCAATTGATATCTCTCTCTCTCTCTCTCTCTCTCTCTCGCCCCCTTCCTTCCATTCTCTCTGAAAATCAATGGAGAAAATATCCTTGGGTAAAGATGAACAAAAAAATAAAAATTTAATTATTAAGCTTAATTTAATCCTGCTCTCACTTATCAATTTGTTCCTTATATTTTTAAAGTACAATTTTTTTTCTCACTTATTTTATTGCTAGTCATTGGAGACTAAAAAATTACTTAGTAAAAAGTTACCAAAAGGAAGGGATATCATATTGCAGTGACTCTTCTGCCAGTCTTCTACTCTCATACTTATTTTCTTCCTGTTACCTATTTGGGTTTGCCCCTTTTTTACAGCTTATGATAAAAACTCAAATCATTGATTTTAGGCCCCCTTCTTTTTATATAACCATATAAAGTTATAAATTCCCCCCTAAGTATGGTTTAGCTACACCAAAAATGTTGATGAAGTGTAGTTTGAAATTTCTAATTTTCCATAAGATTCCTTTGACTCACAAGTTATTTACAAGTACATTGTTTAATTTCCAAATACAAGGGCTTTCTTAGGTAACTTACTGTTGTTATTTTCTTAATTCTGATGTGGTCATAGAATATACCGTGAGATTTCAATCTTTTGATTTGAGACTGCCTTGCATTTGGTTTGCCTCAGTGAAAGTTCCACGTGCCCTTGAAAGAACGTGCTCTATAAGGTGTCTAATAGTGTCATTCGGAGCTTCTAGATCTGTGCTGCTCAATATGGTAAACACCAGTCACACGTGGCTACTGAACACCTGAAATGTGGCTTGTTGCTTAATAAGGATTTGATTTTAGAATCGCATGACTAACATTGTGCAACTGATTTTCAATTGAGTTAACAGTGGCTCACTATTTTCAAGGAAACAATGGTGCTACAGCAACATGGTATACAGTCTAAGGACAGGCTTTTGCTGTCTCCTGAATTTCTAGCCTAAATGAAAACAATTTAACAGAACAATAACAGTCATAAAAATCTCTTCCTTACTAGTCTCTCTAAAACACTAGTTCTATAACACCATGCTTGAAACATACCCAAATGGTCTAATTATGACCATTTAATAGCAACTGGAAATGTACAATCCTATCTAATAAAGAGGGAATATGCTCATTGACCCTCACGCCATCGCAAAGATGGCGCCAATAAGGAGGGAATATGCTAATTGACTGCCCCACCCTCAAAGATGGCAGCGCCCATAGCCAATGAGGGAATATGCTAATTGACTGCCACGCAGGTGTGGCAAGGCTGGGCCTGCCTCCAGGCAGGCTCAGCCACTCCACATGCCTGCCTCCAGAGACCCCCAGTCCCCTCAGCTCCCCAGCTGCCCAGGGCCAGCCTGAGGTTCAGACAAGCCTTGGATGGCGGCTGCCCAGCCGTCCAGGGCCGCCTGAGGCTCAGGTAACCAGGGCTGGCCAAGGCCTACGCTGCCGGCAGTGGCAGCAGCAGAAGTGTGATGTGGGCATCGCTTTCCCCTGATCGCCAGGTTGCCTCCCGCCCCTGAGGGCTCCCGGACTGTGAGAGGGGGCAGACCAGGCTGAGGGACCCCTCTCCAGTGCATGAATTTTCATGCACTGGGCCTCTAGTACATAATATATTAAACAAAAATGCAAATCAAGCCCAGCCGGTGTTGCTCAGTGGTTGAGCATCAACTCATGAACCAGGAGGTCACGGTTTGGTTCCCAGTCAGGGCACATATCCAGGTTGTGGGTTCGGTCCCCAGTTGGGACCCATGGGGGCTGGGGGCGCCTGAACCAATCAGTGGTTCACTCTTATGTTGATTTCTCTCTCTTTCTCTCTCTCTCAAATCAATAAAAACATATTTTTTAAAAATTCAGTTTCTCAGTTACACTAATCCCATTTCAATAGCCCCAAATGGTTGGCTTCTACCATATTGGAAAGTGTAGAAACAGAACACTATGGCAGAAAGTTCTACTGGGTAGCACTGCAATGGCCAGTAAGGTGGTTAATGCATGGAACAGTACTAGAAAACTCAGAAACCAATGTGAAATATAGACAAACCCAGAGACTCATCAATTAACTTATCAGGCTTTTATTGTGTGCCTGCAACTTATAACAAAAAATCTGCCACAATATTAAGAAATCTAATGATATGTTCTGTAGCTTGGACATATTACTTATTTGTTTTATGCTTCTATTTCCTTGTATATAAAAAAGAGAAACTAATGTGGTATTTATTTCTATTTCACTAAGGCAATGTGGTGATTCATGGTCCCGTAACCTGAAGGATATGACAAACTGACAAGATTCATCAAACAATGCAAAAAAAAAAAGAACTGACAGAGGAAAATAAAATCTTGCTTTTAGAAGTTATGAAAGTTCTCCTTTCAGATGTCATAAAAATGCCACTCCACTTTGCACTAGAACAAACTGGGATGACAAACAACCTTGTTCAGCTCTAAAAGCTGGTTGATTCTCTTGGGCTTTGTTAACACACTCACACACACAAAATTAAAACAAATACACAACTGACAGCAAGAATAATAAACAGAGGATAATTCCTACTGTACCAAACAGTTCATGAGTCATGGTATCCTTGATGAAGGAAATTAAAACTCCATGGTGTTAACAAAGCTAAACAGCAGATGATATCAAGGAATGTGGCTGGGTCAGCATTTCAACTGCTCATCAGCACACTCATCCATTCTCTGCATTCTCCATCCCACTACTCATGGAAATAGATAAAAAATTCATTCCAGCCCTTGCCGGTTTGGCTCAGTGGATAGAGCCATCGGCCTGTGGACTGAAGAGTCCCAGGTTCAATTCCGGTCAAGGGCACATGCCCGGGTTGCAGGCTCCATCCCCAGTGGGGGGTATGCAGGAGGCAGTCAATAAATGATTCTCTCTCATCATTGATGTTTCTATCTTCTCTCTCCCTCTCCCTTCCTCTCTGAAATCAATAAAAATATATATAATAAAAATAAATTTTAAAAATTCATCCCATAAGTCCGTGCTTTCTTAATATGGTTTCCAACAAATGGAAAGATTAACAGATAGTCATTATATTCAAACCAGACTTGACTCAAAAACGAGCCCTGGCTAGTGTGGCTCAGTTGGTTGGAGTGTCATCACATATGCCAAAAGGTTGTGGGTTCCATTCCTGATCAGGGCACATATCTCCCCCCTACTCTTCTCTTCCTTCTAAAGTCAATAAGCATATCCTCTGTGAGGATTTTATTTTTTTAAGTAAGGGGAAGGAATCATATTATATGTACTTTCAAGTTGGGTTTATCACATAAAATATTCTGTATGTATGTTTTTCCATGTCAGAACATATAAGTATCTCATTCTTGAACAGATACACACAATTTCTTACAATAGACCTCATATATTTTACTTTAAAAAAAAATCCTCACCTGAGGATATTTTTCTGTTGATTTTTTAGAGAGAGTGGGAGAGGAAAAGACAGAAGAAATATCGACATGAGATAAACACATAGATTGGTTGCCTCCTGCACCAGCCCAACCACGTACCTGCAACTGAGGTAAGTGCCCTTGACCGGAATCAAACCCGTGACCCTTCAGTCCGAAGGCCAACGCTCTATCCACTGAGCCAAACAGGCTAGGGCATATAATCTACTTATATAAACTCCTATTAAACACTGCCAATTTTTCACTATTATCAATATTATGAATGAATATCTTCGTGCATAAATCTTTACAAGCTTTTAAGATTCTCTGTGAGAAATTCCAATAAGTAAAATAAATTGCTAGGTCAAATATTTACAAGCAAAATTCTGGCAGTTATTTTTAGATTTCTTCTGGATAATTCACAACCCCACCAGTAACAGAATTGGTTTTTTCACTGCACATTTTAGTCTTTGCTAACCTGATTGGCTTTCCCACCCCTTTCCCCCAAGATAGTTCATAATTTAAATACTTTATTTCACTAGAAATGAATGCCCTTTCCCTATATAATTAACCATTTAGTTTTCTTTTGTTATTTCTGTCTATGTCCTTTGTCCATCTTTCTACAGTTTTTTAAGGATTAGGGAAATTAGCCATTTTTCTTTCATACATCTTGAAAAATTTCCCACCTCAATCTGCTTTCTGACTACTCATGTTTCTGTTCTACAGAATTTTCCAACTTTTATGCAGATACATTTATCAATTTT